TAATATATATTATATATGCCAAAACACAGACTCTAGTTTTTGGAGCACTTTGTGAAGCTGCTGGAAGGTACAGTTTTAACTAGAGTCCAAGAAACTCATGCAATTTTTAGAAAAGAATCAGTTATTAACTCCAAGATAAATAAAACTTACATCAAAGGTTAGTGTACCTGTTAACCATGAAACATCAATTTGAATGGATTAGAAAGTGCCTAGCTGATGAGTAAAGCACGCTTCTGGGGTCTGGCAGGTCATGGAGTAGGATGGTGGGTGCTCGCTCTGGGTCCTGGCCCCCTCCCTCTTCTCGGGCCTTGTTCTCCCGTACTGCTGCCCAGACAGCATGTGGTGAGCAACGCCCTCCGTCATGCCCTTCTGCCCTGTCTCTGCCTCAGAGCCAGCCAACCATAGACTGCATTCTCTAAGCCATAAGCCAAGAAAACCTCTCCTCCTTTCAGCCAGGGGTGCCAGGAATCTGTCCCAGCTAAGGAAAGCTCACAAATGCAGTTGGCTGAATGCTAGGAAATGGGCACACTCACAGGCCAGAGTAGATGGATACTGACCACAGCAAGTGATTCAACCCAATATCATCAAAGGACCTTTCTTGGTTTACCAAAGATCCGCAGTGAAAATTTTAATGAAATAATCAACTCATTCATTTATTTTTTTTATTTTTTTTAAAATTTTTTTATTTATTTATGTATGTGTGTGGCCAGCTCAGCCCACCAGGGGCTGGGGCTGGCTGGCATGTGGTGCCGGGGGATTGAACCGCAGTCCCTGTGCTCTGTTTAGCTTAGCATATTCTAAGTAGGTTCTTTAGCCCACCGAGCCATCTCACCTGCCCTAGCTTAACTTTAAAAAATACATTTTCACATCTGTTTTTCTACTGATATGAATATTGTCTTAAATAATCCTTAATCCAAATAATAACCAACACAGTTATTTATGCCCTTTTCCCCCTTCCCTTCATTTCTCAGGATTGCTGAAGACCTTGCAAAGACACTGCTTAATTCTTTGCAAATATTTATGCTTTACTTCAAACTTGCCAGCCAGACTGTCAAGCAACCACATCATGCACTGGGAAGCGACTCTCCGCTGTCACTCTGAGATTTCCAGATGGAAAGCCCAGAGAGGGCAGGAGGCAGATTTTCAGAGGAAACCTGTCCTGGGTAACAAGTGAGAACTGACGGCCACACGAGCATCTGTACTGAGTGGGCAGTGAATTGAAGGAGTCTTCCTTACTCAGAGGCCTCCAACAAATAGCCCTTCAGCCAGTGGAATCATTGCTGGGCTCTGGGTGGTTTCTAAAATGTCATGAGGGGCTGGGGAGATGGCTCAGTAGAATAAGCACTTGCCTGGTAAGCGCAGGGGTCTGAGTTCAATCCCCAGTTCTGCCATAAATAAATAAATAAATAAATAAATAAATAAATAAATAAAATGTCATGAATGAAGAGACACTCGAGAAGCCAGTCTCTCAGGAGTGTGCCTACCGTGGAGCCCGGGCAGACTTCAGCTTTAAGGAAGAAAAGGCCACAAACCAGTGTCTTTGCGGCCCCCTCCCTGACCTGGTCAGGAGCACCCACCTTTCAGATCTCCATTCCCATCCTCATCGCTGTCCTTGAAAGACCTTGGGTAGATCTGGTACATGGGCCCCGCCTGCCACCAGTCCAGGCACTTTGGAGAGATGGCGATGATAGCCACGGTGGCCGCGATGAGCAGGAGCACCACCACAATGGTGAGCCAGAAGAGAATCTCGCGGGGCACGCGGTAGCGGGCCTGGCCTGAGAACTGGAACAGCACCTCCTTGGGCATCCCCGCGTAGGGCCGCACGCGCTGGGCGTCGGGCTCCCCTGCGCCCGTGATGCTCACGGAGCTGCTGGGCTCTGGTTCCAGCTCTGGAGTGTCTTCATTTTGGACAAACCCATTGTTGGTCTGACATCCCTTCTGACTCATGCGGATGGAGTCTTTCTTGCCTTTGTCTTCCGCCATGGCTCCTTGTACCCTCCTGAGCCTCCTGTGGAGAGGAGGGTGGAGAAAGGAGGCTGTGCTGAGTGCTCTGTCTTTAATGAGCTTTGCACAGTTTATAAATAAGCCTGGCTGGACAAAGTCCAGCCAAGGAAGAAAGGGTAAAGGTAAAAGGTATTTTAAAATGTCTTTCTACACTAGGGGCGGCGGCAGCTACAGAAACAACTCCAACTAAGGAGGGGAGCAGAAAGAAGGGCAGAGCTCCAGCGCCTGGTGACAATGGCACTTGCGTGAGGACACCGTTGCTTTTAGCCACAAAAGTCAAAAGGTGCAAAGTATACAAATGCCCGCCACTGGACAGATGGATAAGCAAAGTGTGGAACACGCAAACGACGGAGGTTCTTAAATGAGTTTCTCAGAGTACTCAAGTTTATGGAGACTGAAAACAGGGGTGCTAGAGGTTGAAGGAGGGGAGGGGGCTCAGGCTTCAGTGGGTGCAGAATCTTAGTTTTGGATAAAGGATGGTTTCTGGAGAGGACAGCAGTGGTGGCTGCATAACACTGTAGATGTACTTTGAGCACTATGCTTAAAAAGGGTTAAAGCGATAAATGTGAAGTCTATTTTTACCAACAGCTTTAAAACTTTGAGCTTCTCTTTTTAGCTAAGAAAAAGAAACAAATCTTGAATTTTGTACTATGGAGAAGGCAATTTTTTTTGCAAGAGGAAGCAAAGTTTTTCCTTTTTTTCTGGTTTTTGTTCTCTGAGACAGGGTCCCACTATACAGTGCCGGCTGGTCTTGGACTCACTATGCAGCGCAGGCTGGCTGAGAACTTGCAGTGATCCTACTGACTGTGTCTCCCAAGTGCTGTCACACAGCACGCCAGGACAGCAGGATCGTTTTCTTTTTTGTTTTGGAGATCTCCTCTCTTCCTATGAAACCACACAAAGACGGCCTGGAGGCCGAGAACCACACTTGGTTAACTGAAGTTGAGGTCATTCTAACTCAGTTCAGGCTGACCCTAGATCCTCCCAAGAGAACGCTCAGCCAGCCCAAGCACCCTGAGTGTTCTCCGAGAAGGGTGTGACTGCCCGTTAGTAGTCGGTGGGGGAGCAGAGGAGCCTGCGCTCAGCACGTGCAGGTGCTTACTAGAGGAACACAGGCGGCCAGGCCAGCACCACCTAGTAGTCTAATCATTGACAAGCACAACAATACACGCACAAGGCGAGGGGAGTGCGCTGAGCTTGCAGGCGCTTTTCTAGAGGACGCTGTGACTTTAAAAGAATGTGATGATTCAGGGTTTCTTCCAGTCAGTGGCCCTTGACACAGCCCTGGGACTCATTCCAGCAGGCAATTAGGATTCTCTCTACAAAGGAGAAAAATTAGCTGGTTGTGGTGCTGTTTCTGAAACACCACGGCATGGTTCAGAGGTTTTTTGGTTTTTTTTTTTTTTTTGGCAGAACCAACCGGGAATTGAACTCAGGCCCTTGAGCTTGCCAGGCAAGTGCTTATTCTACTGAGCTATCTCCCCAGCCCCGGTATGGTTCAGAGGAATGAACTACTCGATCTCGGCCAATTTGTTTTTTAAAATGAGTAAATCTGCACACCTGGCTCACTGAATGCATCCAATAATTGGTGTTTTTCACCATTATTAACTATATAATTTTGACTATTGTAAAACTAAAAAAAAATTAACTTTTTTATGTTTCAAACACGTACCGGCGGGGATGGGGGAACACGTACTAGTAATTTTCACAACTGAAGTTAATTCTGGAAATTCAGTCTCTATTTGGGGAGAAAACCATGGGCAAAAATACCTCCAGTTAAAAATAATTTTGAAGTGCTTGCCTAGCAAGTGCAGGGTCCTGAGTTCAATCCCTGGTACCACAAAAAATAAATAAATAAATAAATAAATAAATAATTTTAAATTATAAAAATATTTTAATAAAACTTCAAATTATAAATGCACAATGATAAAAAGCAGCAAAAACTCCTTATAGCACTGCCTTCCTGACAGAAATATTCCTTTTCATCTTCTCCATATTTTATTGAAAAGAAGAGCAACAATTTGCATTTCCAGAACATAAAATGGGAAGCTTTTGAAAAACAGCTGGGAATAACTACCTGGGTCTTTGATAGAAAGGTATTTAATGATAAAATAAATTTCAAATAAGATTTCCTTTTTATGTTTTGCTAGGATTCTTTGTATTTACAGTATCACAAAACATATCAATTGAAGAACATTGGGAAAATACATTTGCAATAAATATGCCAAAGCAAGGGCTGAACAGATAGCTCAGCGGATTAAAGCGCCTGCTTAGGTAGACACAGGAACTGGGCTTTGATCCCAGGCACCAAAAGCCCTGCCGGCCCTGCCTCGGGGGCGTGCTGAGACTGTGACTGAGACTGGGCATGGTGATGTGTGCCTGTAATCCCAGCACTTGGGAGGGTGAACACAGGAGGACCACTGTGAGTCTGATGTGTGTAGTGAG